TGTTGTGTGTATTCATAGTGAGGGGAGTTGGCTATCCCCTTCTTTGCTTTTATTTGTGATTATCTACGTGTATATTTTTTTAAGCAATTGGGTAGGGCATGGTATCAGATATGCCTAGAAGCCTCCTTCTTGTGTTTGTGTTATATGTTTATCATCTTCAAGCAATTGGGTAGGGCATGATATCAGATACGCCTAGAAGCCTCCTTCTTGTGTTTGTGTTTTATGTTTACCATCTTCAAGCAATTGGGTAGGGCATGGTATCGGATATGCCTAGAAGCCTCCTTCTTGTGTTTGTGTTTTATGTTTATGTCCTTCACGCAATTGGGTAGGGCATGGTATCGGATATGCCTAGAAGCCTCCTTCTTGTGTTTGTGTTTTATGTTTATGTCCTTCACGCAATTGGGTAGGGCATGGTATCGGATATGCCTAGAAGCCTCCTTCTTGTGTTTGTGTTTTATGTTTATGTCCTTCACGCAATTGGGTAGGGCATGGTATCGGATATGCCTAGAAGCCTCCTTCTTGTGTTTGTGTTTTATGTTTATGTCCTTCACGCAATTGGGTAGGGCATGGTATCGGATATGCCTAGAAGCCTCCTTCTTGTGTTTGTGTTATGTCTATATTTGTCAAGCACGTGGGTAAGTCATGGTATCGGATGTGCCTAGTATAGGAGGTATCGTTGAGCCCCAGTTTCAAATAACGGATGCATGAATTAGTTGTAAAGCGACGGCATTGTTTTATTTGGCGTAGAGCAGAGTTGATGGGTCGGTGACTACAGAAAAGCGTCATTACCCACCTCTAAGCGGTCCTCAGATGATAGCAAGCCTGGTGTGCTCTTCAGATATTAGCCGAATGCGACATTTCAAGTTTACGAATAGGAATAGCCGAGAAAGACAGGATGATACCGGTCAGTTCTGGCAGGAGGAAGAACAACGTTGGGTGTCATCGGCAGGGCCTATGGGCCAGGGGTAAAACTCTGGTTTTCTATGGGGCTGTCGGTGGCATTCCAGGGTTGGGCAGCGTTGAGTGTCCTCGGCAGGGCCTATGGGCCAGGGGTAATACTCTGGTTTACTATGGGGCTGTCGGTGGCATTTCAGGGTTGTTTAGATTCCTGCGGGGTCGAGGCGGTAGTGGGGGATCATCTCGGGCAGAATGGTACAGCCACTAAACAATTGAAAGTACATTTTTCCGCTATTGAGAAGAGTTGGTTTCAGCCCAATTAGTCTGGAGCCGCAAGAAGTATGTCTTGATATGGGTGGGTNGATATAGGAATAGCCGAGAAAGACAGGATGATACCGGTCAGTTCTGGCAGGAGGAAGAACAACGTTGGGTGTCATCGGCAGGGCCTATGGGTCAGGGGTAAAACTCTGGTTTCTATGGGGCTGTCGGTGGCATTCCAGGGTTGGGCAGCGTTGAGTGTCCTCGGCAGGGCCTATGGGCCAGGGGTAATACTCTGGTTTACTATGGGGCTGTCGGTGGCATTTCAGGGTTGTTTAGATTCCTGCGGGGTCGAGGCGGTAGTGGGGGATCATCTCGGGCAGAATGGTACAGCCAGTAAACAATTTGAAAGTACATTTTTCCGCTATTGAGAAGAGTTGGTTTCAGCCCAATTAGTCTGGAGCCGCAAGAAGTATGTCTTGATATGGGTGGGTCGGATCGGCCACAAGTTGTAGCCTTTCACCCCTATGTCCGTAACGTTTCCCACTAGGAGCTCAGAATGGAGGAGAACCGTGTCACGCATTTAAAATGCATAAAGTCGCAGTAGGACAAGCAGCGAAACAGGTCGAAACCCGTGTAGGAGGAGCAATTTTGATGTGGAGTGGTTTTTAAGTATTTCGCAATGAATGGTAAATGGGAGGGGGCGGGAGTACCTTAATTATTCCACGGAGCTTCCTACCGTTTTCGTTATTTGCTTTTCCACGAAATATTTTATGCAAATTGTTCCGCGAAAAAGCAAGGGCGGGTCAATGTTGTAGGAAGCTCCGCAGATTGTAACCGTATGGTTGAAGTTATCCCCGTTTTCCCGGAGTTCCAAAGTATTTGGATTATTCTGGTTTTCAG